AGCCAATGGCCGGCAGAGCAGGCCGAGCCGCCGCGCCGTCCCGCAGCAGCTTCACCGGGACCGTGCTGGGTTACCGGCCAGGGGAACACGCTTTGCCCAGGGACTGCACATCGCTTGCTGCCTGACCTTAGCATTGGGGAGAAAAATCCTGTCATGGCAAAGACACGGAGAAGCTGAAATTGCTGAGTTACAAGCAAGTTTTTAATTAATCGAGCCTAGCTTTAAAAGGTGGGTTTATTTTAGCTCCACAGCAGTTCCTCAGTCAGGGAGATGTTGGCAACCTGCGGCAGATTCCGATAGACCGAGTTCCAGAAGTTCACATACCGGGTTTTCAGATTCTGCTTCACAGAGTCCTTGTTTATCTTGTTGTTGATTTCCAGGTAGTAAGTGCCCTCGTTGGAGTAGGGCGGCCAGTTAACAGGCACCTCTGAATTCCCTTTGTTGGGGTCGCTGGGGAAAAATGAGAAATAGGAGTTCAGTTTTACCAGGACAGCTTGTGGATGCACGAAGGTTTGGGGCGTTTGGCAGGGATCTCATCTGCTCAAGTCAGGCTTTAAGTCAGTGCAAAGAGTTTGACATGGGGACAAGCGACAGCAATTCTGCCTGCTAGGATCGACTTGCCGACCTGCAGTCCCCTCCCTTGGTCCCCGCTAGCATCAGCCCTACCTGCAGACAGGAGCTTAACTCCCGTCTGAACAGCAGGATTTGGAAACAAACCTAATAATTAAGTTTAAGCAGAGTTCACGAGGTCTGAAAATGCTTCTGCTGTCCCCAGGTGTTCCCTGGGTGAAGAGAACCAGAGCAAACTCCACCACTGGCAGACATAGAGCCAGGCTCACAACAGAAGTACAGACAGAGGACACCCTGCTTTTGGGAACTAATCCTGAGAAATCAATAGGCAAAACCAGCAGGTTGAAGAGCTGCAGCAAGCTCCAAATGTGGAACCAGAATCACTCACCCTGTCCTGGCAAAATTGGTCCAGTAAGCAATCATGGCGCTTGAGACAGTTCTGTGCTTGGGCAGGTAGCCCAGGGGGGTGGCGAAGGGTTTCCCAAACACGTACTGCAGGTCATCAGCATGGTCTGCCCCTACCCAGCGTGGGTAGATGGGCATTCGGGATGGTTGAGAGAACAAGTAGCTGTATGTCTTGGCACTCCTGGGGAAATAAAATTGACTTGCTGAGCAGCTGCAGGTGTGGGGCAGAGAAGAGGGTTCAGTTTCACAACCATGCTCCAAATACCGGCAGAGCCAGAGATGCAGCCTTGGAAGATGCTTGCTTGCATCTAAGAGGTACTTTCAGGAGAAAACATCCTTCTATTTGGTATTTTTATCTCCCATTTCTGATTCTCACCCTAACCCTTGTGTCATCCAACTGCCATGTCTCATGGCATCAAACATTGCTAGGATGAAGTCTGAAGTTTTTAGGAACCAAAAACTTGGTTTAATGGGAATTTAAAATAAATTCCTAGCATGACTCCCTTGCAGCAGTAGTTAAATAGTGTTTGTACGAGCCACATGTAAGTGTGTACTCCTGCCTCCTTCAAGTTCAGCTGTCTCAACGTACTCCTCAGCCCCTCGTGCTGGGAACACAGCACTTTGGCCCCCACATGGCCTTTGGGCTCCTGCCAGGGCTGAGCTGCTTACCGGGCATTCTGCAGGTGCAGATTCAGTGCCCACTGCGTGGGAACCAGGAAGATGTAGTCAGTAATCAGGTCCACCACTGTCTTCTTCATGACCTCCTGGTCTGGGTTGTCTCCCCATGCTTGTGTGTAGACTGTGTATGTTGCATTGGCTCCACGCTCACCCCTGTCCACAGTAAGTCCTTTGATCAAATTATAGATCTCGTCCCTGAAAAAACAAGTAGTATCAACTAATTAGAGACCAGCAACTTCAAGTGGGGCCAGGCTCATGGAAATGGATCCCAGTCCACATTGATGTTCACATCCAATCCTGCGGTTAGCAACAGTTTGGTGGAGTAAAAACCAGACAGAAGACATGTGCTTCCCAGCTTTCTCAGCAGAACACCTTGGGGCCAAATTGTCCACAAGTTCCTTTCATGGCCAGAGAGGATTCTTATGGGGTGGACACCTAGCATGTATGGCATGTACCTGCTCTGGACAGAGAGCATCAGGGCTGCCAGGCCTATTGCTGGTGCTGATTCAGGAGCACCTCAGAGGTTTATGGGAGGCTTCCCCACTAGCTGATCTTTTCCCTTGAAGACTCTGGACTTGGTAGCGTATGCCGTAGGCACCCTGGCTTGGAGTGACATCCTGTTTGAAGTAGTGCCCTGTCCACTCAGGTCTAAGTTTTCAGAGTTTCGGGGCTACTTTAAAGGTAAGGTTTCTCCTGTTAAGGGTCTTAAGATCATCCTTCACTTACGCAGTGATTTTGACAAGCGGGCGGTTGATAGCAGGTAAATCAATGCCAGCAAAGATATGTCCATCCATGTTATTGACCCCAGCAATGTAGTCAATGTCAGCGCTGTTGGCAAAGAGGTTCTCTGGCATGTCTGGGAGGAAGTCTCCATCGATGACAGGAGTGAGGGCGAGTGTGTGAACCAGGGGAGCTGCAGCAGGAGACAAAACCAGAGTCTGAGAAAAGTAGTGTGGCCTGGCATAGCCCATGACTCAAGGAACTATAGAAAGAAAAGGCTGAGGTGAATGAGAGCTTGGGTGGTGACTTCAGCATGGGCAGGATGTCACCCAGGAGCAGGGTGACCACAGGATCATGTTCAGTAAACATCATGCCTGTAGGTGAAGAGCAAGCAGAGGAGAGTCTTCTTGGGAAAGAAATTCTCAAAGGCAGCAAAAGCAGACGTGTTCCCTATCTGGTGTGAGAGTCCTGCACTCCACCCAGCGACTCAAATGAAAATAGCAGGGTTGTGGTCAATGATTTTTGTGTTTGTAAGCTGTGTTCTGGAGCTGCTCTTGCTGCTTTCACAAGATGGAAAGCCCAAACAGCTGCTTTGGAGCCACGGCATGGCCCTTGGTTAATTCCTCTGCCACCGCTGCCATTGCACAATGAACAGCATTCATTCAGCGCAATGTGCACCTGCCTGTGGAAGGGCAACTGCGAGATCTGTCATTATTGTCCCCTTTCAGAAGGACACAAGCACTGCTTCAACACCCCTGGCAATCACCCCAGCATCCCCTCAAAGGTGTGGTGAGCCCTGTGTGGGTGGTGGACCACAGCACAGGCTGGGGGACTTACAGGGCAGGTTGGTCAGATGCAGGTGGTAGGCCAGCGTCACGGCTTTGGGGTCAGAGACGCGCAGGCAGTGGGCCAAGGCAGTGGTGTTGTCTATGGGGCAGCCCACTTTTTCTCCAAGCTGCAGGAGGAGAGAGAGAAACCACCCAGCATCACCCCCTGAAGCCAGGCTTCACTACCCGCTTCACAGAGGCAGAGCTTGGTTTTAATCTCAAAGCAGTGTGTTTCCAAAACTCTATCTGGCAGCATGGCTCCTGCCGAATCCCCTGCTAGTTATGCTTTTCTCTAGGGAGTCACTTATTTAGTTTTTCCATTCCCTCAGGAAAGATTTGCACGTTACCTTTTCAGCCCAGGCGAGCGGGTCCTTCTGGATGGCCCAGCTGCAGAGACCCACACCGCTCTGGCTGATGGCTCTCTTGAACAGGCCCTTGTTCTTTGGGGACAACGTCTGTGGTGCAAAAGAGAAACAAGAAGGTTTCAGGTCCAACCTCCTGAAGAGCCCATCACCTGCCAGACCCGTCCGATCCCCTCACAGCTTGTGCACCAGGCCCAAGGAAGCTGCCAGCTCTCGTGCTATTCAACAGTCTCAGCAGTTAAAAGGTGATATGGTGAGAAGGGGAGAAGAGTAGCGGGACATGGCAAGTAAATGCTCTTTCACCAGAGGTCCCAAAAGCAAGGACACGTGCCTGCAGTGGTGGGACTGATTAAACTGAAGGAGGAGCGGCTACAAAGTGAAGAGGCTGAGCATTGCTGTCCCTGGGGCAGAAGAGGATGTTAATCAGGTGGTGTGCATGGAGGGAAGCAGCAGAGTGCCAAGGGGACCATCTTTCCCATTTACAGAGAAGAGAAGCAGCTCTAGTGGGACCCGACAAGGACAACACACCTGCAGGGAGACACTGACAGCACCAGCTGATTCCCCAAAGATGGTGATGTTTTCTGGGTCACCCCCAAAGGCCTTGATATTCCTCTTCACCCAGGCAATAGCCATGTGCTGGTCCTTCAGTCCATAGTTCCCTGAGCAACAGAGAGCACCCACCATTGAGTAAGGGCACAGCGAAGCTGATAAGCTGGAGACCCGTGACAGGGTCCCCTGAAGAGGGAGCAGCTACGGTACCTGGCAAGTTTTCATCTCCAGTGCTGAGGAAGCCAAGGGGCCCCAGGCGATAGTTGACGGTCACCACGATCACATTGCCCCGCACAGCAATCTCCTCACCATCATAGAGGTAGTTATCGAGGAAATTGGCTCCCTGGCTCCCTCCTACAAGGAAGGCGCCACCGTAGATCCAGATCATCACTGGCAGGTTGGTAGAGACTGGGAGATAAGGAAGAAAAGCAACGTCAGCCACAACATAGCTAGAAGGTGCTGCCCATCCATCCCCTTACCCACTCTTTGAGCATCACTCCACCAGGGCAGGAACAGCTGTGATCCTTTGCAATAGCCTATGGCCAAGAAAGTCCTTGCTGTGTAGGAGAGGCTGAAACTCTCAACAGGCTGCAGTGGAGGGACATTGGCTGACACAGCTCACCTTTCCCTCTGAAAATCAGTGCTCCTGCAGTTGCCCACTGTGGGAACATAGCTGCTGAGAGATGCTCCAGACCAATTTGTCCACAAAAGGCAACTGAGAATCTCCTCCCCAGGTATCTGCCAAGCACATACCCTGTCTCCTTCCTTGAGGGATCCAGATGTTCAGATAGAGACAGTCCTCACTGCCGCGGACATCAGTTTGTGTAAGCGTCATCTGTATGCAGCGATTTTTGAATTTTTTTGCCTGCAATGTTCCTGAGAGGAGAGAGGGAAAACAGCAGGTCCTAGTTAGAGGCATCAACTCCATCCTTTGGTTGCAAGCTGTCTGTCCATCCGTCCATCCTCTCCTCCTTGAATCCAGTGCAGAGGCAGCAAAGCCACCCCAGCCACTGTGACTGGCCTGAGGGATTGACAAAGTGGGACCCTTTCCCACGGGAACTAGCTGTGGACAGCCAAGGTATGGGGAGGGGAGATGCAGGTGCCATGCTTCAGATTTGTTGCTTCATGTGGTTACTTGAGTTGCTTGGGAACACTTAGACACAGACTTTCATACCCACCATGAGACTAAGAGCCTTTTCTTGGCGCTGCTTATTAGATGAAAGCAGGCAACAACATCCTTGGCTTGTCAATAATGGACTAAAGAGAGAGAAGCGAAAATAAAACCCAGAACAAAGGCACTCAAAAGCTGTATCTTACCATCCCAGCCAGGATGAGGTTGGGGGTCTTCCAGAGTCTTTGGAGGGGCAGCAAAGGGGATCCCTCTGAAGATGTCAATGTAGTTCTCAAAGAGTCCCAGTTTTTTATTCTCGCCTTCCACAAAACCTCCCTCGGTGTACACCACACCCAGCTACATGTGGTACCAATGAGAAGAGAAAATCCATTGCACAGTCCTTCATGCCTCTGGCTTCCCATGTTGCCAGCACCCACACCTTGCCCCGGCCAGTCTCCCAGATGGACCCACTCGCAGCTTGCCTTCCCAGCCGTCCCTTGGGACCCTTGTGGAAAGCCCACAGGTAGCTGCCACTGGAGGTGTGCCCGTGCAGATGTCCTGCAGGATGCCCTTTGGAGCAGACGGGCAGCAGCAATTCCCCTGCACTCCCAAAGATAAGTGGCAGAAGGTGAGGACCTTCAGCCTCAAGATGTAAACCAGGCCTGACCCGACACAAAACTGTGCAGGAACTTTTGGAAAATTGTTGTTGAGAGCCTTTGCCAAGTTTAGGGCAGGAAAACACCCTGCCTTGGCTATCATGGTCTGCAGGCCCTCTTTCATTGGGACCAGACCAGATGTAGCAGGAGTTTGCTCATTCAGACAGGGACGGGCAAAGTGTCTCGCAAAGCCGTAAGAAGTGCCTTTGTACTTACGGTTGCAGCCCGTGCTACCCCGAGGTAGGAGCACAAGGCAAAGCACAGGATCTCCCAGCGAGCCATGGTGAGTGCACCCTGAGGAGCCAGATGGAGGCTTACGTATATATAGCTACGAGGGCAGCTGTGTGTCAATGCCATGGCCCGGTCTTGGCTCTAAGGTAAACCAGGGGAGCCTCTACACACTTGTCCTTCAGTAGGCTGAGGCCAAACCATGGCTGAGGTAGACTGGCGTCACTGTGTGAGAGACCTGCAGATGTTGCTTTTGTGGGCTGGAGGTCAAACCTAAAGGAAATATCTCAGTCTAACAAAACTTCAGACAACATAAAAAATATTGAAGCCTTGAGAAGCCTCACACAAGCGCAGGAGGCTAAAATGATATTAAGCCATGCATTACAGCATATTGGAGAACCCTTGCACTCGTAACACTGGGGAATGCACACGACTCCGAAAAGGCCAGCAGACCTTTAATTGCTGTGACAGGGTGGTAACACTCCAGCCAGCAATGGCAGACGAATGGCCAGAGCGGCCCAGCTCTGCGGACCCCCAGCTCTGCCCCGCTGCCTGCTTCCTTTGGTCCTTGCTAACTACCGGGGAAGTCTAAACCGAGTTGAGAAATGCATCTGCTAGTGAGGACAACGTACACTACACCCCACAGAAGGGAATTATTCACTGCCAGGAAGCCTGTTTTCCTGCTGGCTTTATTTCCAAGACCACCAGCGAGGCTGGATGCTGAAGGCATGGCACAGTGGTTTCATTCCCCTTGGACAAGCAGAAGGGCAGCACCTGCCGTAGGGACTCCAGTAGCACCGGAGTGCTTCCCCCAGCACCTCCTCAGCCACCTCTTCTATTTTCCACGTGGCCACCAACCCAGCCACAGCCCACTTCCCACACCTGGAGCGCTGGGAATGCACCTTCTCCTCGTTTCAGGTGTAGTGCCAGCTGGTTTGGATGCTGGGCTCTCTCTTGGGAGGTTGCTGAGGGTGCTTGAGGGCTTCTTAGCCAGCAGTTATGAAAATGGAGGCAATGGCTCCCTGACATCAGGAATGACGGCCATCAGCAGCTACCGCAGTCGGTGCAGACGGGTCGTTAGCATCTTAGTGCAAGTTCTGCTTTCCCACATCCTGGGCATGGTTGCTGACCCCTCGGCACTCAAGGAACAAGAGCAGAGACGGTTCGGTCCAACAGCAGCCAGACTGCTCAGTGAGTTCACACATAGTCCAGAATTTCTGTTTCCATTTCATTTTCACTCCCATCCGAAGGCTTAAAGTCCTCTTCCTCCTCCTCATCCTCTGCAGACTCGTATGTCAGCTGTTCTTTGCCATCTTCACTGCTTGTTCAACCAAAGAAAGCGCCTCTGCTGGCACAGTCCTCATCCTCTGCAGACTCGTATGTCAGCTGCTCCTTGCCATCGTCACTGCTCGTTGTACTTGAGAAGAGAGCTTAATTGGGAACAAAGAAAGAAAGACACGGTGATGCCTCTTACTGAAACTTGGGGGCATTTGCAGTAGAGCTCATAAGTGAGAGGAAGGCAGAAGCCAAAGGGGCAGAGCCAATGTTGCACATCTTCACATAGTTTGATCACCCCGAATCTCTCTTTTCATACTCCAGGAATGCTAGCAGAACAGCAGTGGATCTGCAGTGCTGTGCCTCTTCTCCTAGCTGATTCTGACCTAATTCACTGGGATACTGCTTTGGCTCAGCATCACGCAAAAATAATTTCCTTGCTTCGTGTTCAAATAATGCCATCAATAAAAAAGTAAAAAGCCATCAACAGATACATCAGTAATGACAGTATCTTGATTTTCACTGGGTAAAAACTTTTAACATCTGAAGGCCGTGATACGGGGAAGAGGAGAGAGAAAATCTTTACTCCCAGCCGTTCATAATCCCAACCCACGTTCAAGCTGCAGGACAACAGCCTCAACTCACACACTGTAATGAGGCAGAACACAAAGAACACCAGATGCAGCACAATGGAGGAGGCAAATACAGGAATGTTACTGCCCCAGTGCTGACTGCAGCATCCTTACTCAGCCCACAACATCTCGACGCCATCAGGAAGTCAGTAATACCCTTTGATGCTCAGAAGCATCCTTACCAGGTCTTGTGGATCTGATTATCTGCTTTATCATCAGAGACATGGTATCTCGCAGATCATCACTAGTCTTTGGAAGGCACCACCCATCCCGCTCTGTGCATTCTGACTCTGTGCCATCATTCCGACGGATAATTTTCTGTAGGCTGAAAAGCAGCAAAAGGGAAGGAAACGTTAGCCTTGTACATTCAGATGTAGGCTTCAAATGAGAGAGACTACAGCTTGCTTCCATTTTACTTCATTGAGTTGGAATAACGTTACTTGGTTATTCATGTAATTGTCATATGGAAAAGGAAGCTCATGTGTGAAAAGTCAGTTCTGTTTTTATTCAGAAGCTAAACACCTCTTAAATTTCTGGTTAAGGAGAGAAAGGGGAATGGACTGGATATAAACAATAGGCTTTGCAATCTAGCTCTAACAGAAGACTCAGCTGCCAGTGTGCAATACCTTTCCACATTCAAGTCACAGAGCTGGTAGAACATCTGCCGATAAGGGGGTAAAGCTCCTTCTTGGAAAATGTAGATGGATTCCTAAAGGAAGGAAAGAAGGAAAGGATTAATGCGCATTTTATGGTGTAACAAGACAATGCTGGCATAACTGAAAAGTACTTCTGATGGGCTGAGTCAAGAACAAGGTACTTCTAACACAAATCAGTACCGAGGCACAGGTCTGCATACGGCAAAAGATAAAGCTGAATGAGGAACACAGTGAAATTTCACTGCAGCTATAGTCACAACAGCACAATCGTGCAGAGAACACACGTCATCTCTTCAAACTGCAGCTCTGTCTGCAGCTTGTTACTGGGTAACAGTGGATCGTACGTTTCATCCTAGCAAAAAGGGAAGAATAAAAGACTCCTGTTTAAATATTTATTTTGCCCTGCTGGATTTTGCAGGACAACCTGATAAACACATGGTGGTATCTTGCACTTCACTGCCCCTAAAGTTCCAATTTCATCAATTGAAACAAAATGCTCATCTCGTCTAAGACTAGTCCTGAGAGTACCAACCCCATCTTGCAGGATGTAAGAAACACGTTCAAAGTACGACAGGTGAAGTTCCATCGTGACGTATACAACTAGCAGCTTCCCAGGTAAACCAGAGGACATCAGCTCACTCATGACTGTCCCCTTAATGACTGACAAACCAGGAAACACCCCTTCTTCACAAAGCTATTTCAAGACTCTGGTAAAAGAGAGTAATGCTTACCTTCAGTTTATATCTGCTGGAGGCAGGCTTTTTTGCACTGGATGCTCCGGACGTACCAAGCCCCTGTTTCAGATCATGTACGCTGACCGTATGACTTACTGAAAGACAAAAAAGAGAGAGTCCTAATTAGGGACAGCTTTCACACTGTGACATTGTACTGTCCGTGTTGATTCAACTTTGCTAGTCAGCAAAAACCAGACCAACCCAGCAACTTTGCATGTGTTTCTCATTCTTCAGAAACGTTATTGGACAGTCACAGGAAAGGTGGTGAGTTTGGCAGTTCTTCCTGCAGCGCACTTGTTCATAATTTTAACCTCTTCTACTCTCCCTTGAGAAAGAAAAGAGAACAACTCTCCCCTTACTCAACTCTCCCCTTACTCTGTGCAGCACTGTCACTGAACAGCAGTGAATGCAGACTTCCCACACGGTTGCCTGCAGAACTCTGTTGTGTCTCCTAACAGACACCATGGCTCAGCAGACATACATCCAGATCTCACACCACTTCCAAGG